TGAATCGGGAAAAAAAACACAAAATACCGCTCAAGGAGTTTTGGTAAAGTTTCCTATCATACATAGTTCTGCTATGAAAAAGTCAACTTTAACCATTAGGATTTTCAACTAAAGTGCTCCTAAGGATCGGAATATATATATATATATATATAATACGTGCGAAAGCTTAGAAATAAGGTTTATCACACAACGTATCACAAGCGTCGATTTCGCTATCAACATAGTGCCATATTGGTTAGTACATCGGTATTAGTACAAGTGTCTAAAACGAAGGAAAATTATTTTTCGGCATAAAATACACCCATTGGATCTGTTTTTGTAAGCAATGGGACGGTTGCGTATTGGCCGGCGACCACCGGAAACTCACAGAAACCCGACCTCAAGTAATTACTGTAGTAAAGATGGGTGTCCGTTTCCATCAGCCTCGCATCAGCACTACGAAGACAAAAGCTAATCTAAGAAAAGCCTGATAACCCAGCGTAATAGCCTGACCTTGTTCCATTAAATTGCTATCTCTTCAATGCACTCCAAGAAATTCTAACAAAGAACCCATAGCCAGCTAAGAAGCTTCTCTCTGTAATTTGGATAAAGAAGTTCCACCGAATAGAATACGTATGTAAACTGTTGAAACATGATTTTCTTTTTTTTTCATTAAACCTAGCGGCACATCTCCTATACCTATTTCTATTGTGCCTGGGTAAAATGACCGATCTCTGAAAAAGTTACTGCTTTTGTAGTTTTGCTACCGATATAGTAACGCTGTATAGATGAGCCTGTAGAAACATTCTACAAATGGTCAAATATGTTAACTGTATTTAGTACAACTTGGCCAATTATGGGGATCGTTAGTTACTTTAGCAGGCTTTAATTTATACCATTTTTAACTTTATGTATTTGTGACTGGACGCTTCATGGATGACGAAGTGGATAAATTGAGCGCTGGCTACGAATAACATCTTCCTTCCTCCCAAACGTACACGCACCATAAACAAAAACCTGAGATTAGCAGAAATTTTCGCCTAGCTATATTTAGTGACAAAAGAGATCTATTTTTCTAGGTATTACATTTAGCCGTAGTCATTGGATTGTTATAGTGGTTTTCACTAGCTGGATCAGTTGGTACGATCTGAGCGTCTGACGATCGGCAATGTACCCATGAGGCAGTCAATCAACAACGTACCACTTGTCGCCATAGTCGACGACTGTCACAGCATCTCTCACGTAGACATTCAGAGGAACGGAAACTTACATTGCGGTTTAATGAGACGTCTTGGACTTTCTTTGTAATCGGTGAATGGCCTATGAGCATGGTAATCAGTTAATGGAAGCACAGACCTGACCTGTTATGGTGTACCATAATCTGGTACCCTGCAAGAGTAGTCAGAGGGCAGTCGTCGTTCGTGGCGTACGACGGCCTGTCTGAGTATTAGAACTGCTTTATTGAAATTGCCGCGAACAGTGAACACAACACGTAACGCATATGATATATTAAACATTTTCGATCTTTGTTATCTTACACAAAACCTTATCTATCTATGTGTCTTACACAGCATCGATAATGGTACGATCAGCGGACATATGCAGGAAATGCAAGGAACTTAAACAGACTCTAACTGCCATAATCAAGTTGACGGAATAAGAAACTGGAATAACCGCCATCTTTGCAATTAGCTAAATTTAATGTGTTTAGACAACTGACAGAATATCTGTATTTGTTGAGGAACTCGAACGTTATAATTTAGAAGTGTGTAGAAGAAGAAGTTTAGAGTAGAGGCAGAACAGTATAAGAGGAAATTTTAGACCCCTGTGAAGAATGAATATAGCCAATAAAAGCACTGATAGGCTTCTAGTCGAGCATTGAACAACTGGCAGCTTAAATTAGCATCTAAAAGATCGATTATGTACGAATCAAGGAGTGCGTCGATAAGTAATAGTCCGCCAAATGTCAGTCGCCCATCATTACGGCTTCCGGAGTGGCCATAAAGCTTCATTTCTCTATCGTCGGCCAAAAATATCCATTGATTAGCCGACATTTGCCGTAAACACCCAGCAGCTGCTGGTAGCTCCACTCTGTCAAGGGCAATCGATACGAATTCGCTAACACGAGAAGCCGTCAAATTTTTGTTCATTTGAGCTTGTTATATGACAGGAGATCAACGATACAATGCAGACACGCTGCTCAAAAAATTGTCGCCTGCTAAATCCTGGCGTTTGTTCCCGAAGAAGACCACTATCTTGAGCAAATGACCCTCGTAGATGAGCCAAGCCGCTTTGACTTGTTTTATTTCGACTATTGTGCACTATCGCTTGCTGACCTACGCATCTGTACAGATTGAAACTGTGCGACAAATGTCATGGCAATCGTTTGATGAGTCTGTTCATTTTTGTATCGCTTAAGTAGAACTATTAAAGTCAAAAAAAACCATTGTTTGTACGCTTTGCATTGAGATCTGAAGCGATCATCGGAGTGTGTATAGATACAGAACTGAATCAATTAACAACCACTTCCGCATACCTCAAGGAAGCTGTTCTACTTTCAGCACTTAGATAATTTACATTTCGAATAGATTTAGAATTAGAGCAGTATCTGTCCCTATATACGACTCTGCCAACACGGAAGCTTACAAGGCCAAATGCAACGCTGAATTACCATAACCAAAGGATTAATTGTACAAACTTTTGCTAAAATCACACGCTGAAAAAAAACATGCAGATTGGGAGAAGTTATCTTAAGTGATCAGGTACGTTCTTTACCGGTTCACGCTGCCGCCATTGAGAGTGTATGGCTTGTGGAGAAACACTTGGATTTGATTGGTGTCGATATGCAGGAGAAATACCCTTGTATACTTAACCTTGCTTACCACAATTGACGCAACGAATCAAATATTTAGTATTGTCATACATAACACGAGCGTATGTGCTCGAGACGGACCGAGACTGAGATGGGCCACTTTTGGACCAAAAAAAAAACCATGAGAAAATAACCGATAGACACTCCCGTTTCAAAAACATCCTTTAACGAATAATTAATGAAAAAGGATTTTTGAGCGATTTTGATATGTTTTCTAGTCCTTTCAGGCGCACAGACCTCTAAAATAGGTCGCGATGTGGCTCGTCTCAATAGAGATATACTTTTATATGTACAAAGTGTGCCAAAATATATATGTGCATTATTTAACCAGTCACAATTTTCTGATTGCTCTTTCCTTTCGCAGCGTAATTAATTAAAATTATAAACAAAACCAAGACTAGCATTCAAAAAGAAAAAAATATGCTATTGAAACTATGAATCTATAGTAGAAGGACGAAGATAATATTACAGAACATAGTCTTGGGCTCACACTTGACATTCGAAATAATCTCTAGTAAGGAATACTGCGTGGGAGTGTTTGGTACCTGGAAAAGTATTAGAAAGAGGTTGTTTGAAACGATGGATCTACGTTCAAATCAAGTGACGCAGTTAATCAAAATATTTGTACTTAGTGAGCAACTTTCAATAAATATATCACGCAGGAACATTATATAACTTTACCCGGATGGAACGACGTCTCAAGCAAAGGATTAATTGGATCATTTTTTTAATAGTATAGTGACTGGTACCAGCTACTTAGATACACTCTAATCAGGCATATGCGAAGACTTTGGTAAAGATAGCAAATCTTATCTTCAAGGAAATCATCTGCACACGATCATAAACGCGTAGGATATCTTAACGAGAATACTTCAAATAGGGAGGCTGAACAAGCAGGACCTGTGGGATACCGTATCCATCCATAGCCTGTATTTGATTCCCATGGACTTTTTTTTGCGGAGATACCTTGCAGAGGCTGTTTTTGCCAGACGCACTGACTAAAAAGAGAAAGTCTAAATCCGACGATTAGCCAAAATATACCATAATGAATATTGAAATTCGTGAACCGGTAGCGCACCGGCACCGGCACCAGCAATGTATAAACGTTTTAGGCGAAAAAGTTATCGAAAGAAACGTTATAAGCATATATAAAATATTAGTTGTATCTAAATAAAGATTTAGGCTATAACCATTCAGGCCATGTTTTTGTGTACATACCTCGTGTATAAGGAAAGTATCATTTCTGAATAACTAGTAATTTCGCATTATAGTTCGACAAACAAAATTTGTCTAGCTCATAGTATATGTCCACGTGCTAAGTAAGTAATGATCCAATACACTGTGATGTTTACGCAAAGACATGCGGGCAGACATGAAGTATCTGTCGTTCTAGTAAGTACTTTGCTCGTTACGATGAAAAGCTGATTGCATTAATCAGCCCTCAATTCTCCTTAGGTTAGCATACCCGAATGCACTTTATCGATGTAAAAACACGAGAAAAAAACAAATGTTCCTACAAGTTCGTTCACTCGTCTTTGGATATTAGTGAAAATAGGTCTAATGTCTTCGCGCTGTACACTTCCCTTGAGGGTTGCAAAATCAGCGGCTGAGCCGTCGAAGAAGAAAACGAGAGCAATGCGATAAAAACCCTATTCTAAAGAGTCCACATTTAATCTCAATGAAAGGATGCAGAAGTGCATCTCTGGTGATTCCGGTTTTGTTGAAGGCTAAATTTAACTATCGTTCTCAAACATTAAAGGTACGAGGCTAACGCTGAATTAAGCAAACTGAGAACAAAGTGAGCTTAAAAAGAATTCATTGTTGCCATCGGCCCCTAGACTTCTCTCAAGCAGCAAGTCTTAGATTCTTCAGTAATGAGAAGATATTTACTGGAGACGTCGGAATCGGTTGTATGAACAGCCGCTTGCCTGCCTGAGATCCGGAGGATGAAATCGAGATTTCAGCCCATACCTACGTTCCAAGGTTGCTCATAACACAAAGGAAAGGGTACCACGACCCCCATAAATCTTTCAAGGGAACGTATCTGTTAATGAAAAAACTTATTATCTATATATACTCATTCATAGTGAGACAAAATTATTTATGGTGAAGACTGCTATGTCGGGTTGTAAAGCGTACGTTCACTTACTATTGCTTTTAGGAATGCGTGCATGTTAACTTGAGCATGCGTATGGCCTGAATTGGAGCCACGGCCGAAGCAAACGGCAGTTCCATTGAATAACGACGTTTACTAGGGACCTGCTTGTCGACATATGTAACATGATAAATCCAAATATCTGCTTTCATTCATATGCAATCTGTAAACAAACGACATTAGTTTTAATATATCGCTAAAGCCCAGCGTAGGACATTGCCAGGAGTGTGTCACATACTGCGTTGATTTAGACACATGTGAAAATTGGCTCCTTGGTTGCTGTACGAATACATGTTTGTGCGGCTCAAAAAAACGGTACGTTACGTTCGTTTAGTTTAGTTTAGGTTAGATCAGGCCATAAGGATTTATCATGAGTTTGGACTCGAAAAAAATCGGCCGTTAAAAAAGAGCTCTATATTCAACATTCCTTATTCCTCTTTAGCCGGAGTGGGAAGACTACTGGAGCACTTGAAGATCGTCGCGACATGCACAAAGGAGATTTTATAGTTGAAAGTACGACTTGCGGGAAGTGGCTTGCTTGAAAAATTGTGTTTTTGAGCGAAATAACGCTGACTTATTTCGATCGTTGAAGATTGATCTAAAGTAAAGATCGTTTTGAGCCATTCTAATGGCAGGTGAATAAAGAAGTGGTGACATTAAGAATAGTAAGAATGCAAATTTAGTCTGGTGATGAAGACTTGACCGCTAGCATGGTCCCGTACCCGTACGGTGGACCCCGGTTATTGCAAAGTTAACATTTACATTTAGTTTGTTTGACTACATATAGATATAGAGTTTTTCAGTGCAGTTTGCTGCGAGGCTATGTGCAATGTGAGATCGAAAAGACGTTGTGAGTTTGTCGATACGGTCTAATGAGTAAAGGGAAAAAGCTGCACGATTCAGCTTACTCTGAAGAAAGAAAGAAAGAAACGTTTAAAGAAAAAACGCAAGCGTGTATCGGCTTGGGTACAATCTCTTTTCGAACGTTACATCGGCCTTGCGACCGTCATGGCCGGATACCAAACATAAGCTGCGACTCCGAAACAAACGAGGCCCTTTAAGGTACTGAGCCTCACTCTGAGCTCGAAATTGGTTTCACCAAACGTTCCTAAATCGGGTTTCGAATTAGCCGACTGCAATCTTTAGCGTCTCTACCATTAGAAAGTCATGCGAATACAGTTACAGCGTTCCTCTTTACTTCACTTAGTATTTGCTGCATTCGGCTCGGCGTAGAGTCAGCGTGTTGTTAGATAGGTCGATCGATTAGGCACCAGCGTTTATTAAGGACACAAACGACACTAAATGTAACGTCTCGTATTCAAATTCGTTTATTGAGTCCCCAACCAACATCTCGAACGATCCGTAACGCTCAAGGACTCAATATTAATTTCGTTTTGATTCAATGTACTCATGTCGCGGAGCGAAGTTTTCAAACACTGATGAATCGCTTAGAACATAGAATTTACATGCATCGCTCGAAAACATTACATGCTTTCGCTTTCTTTTTTCGGACAGTGGCAACTTATGGTTAGCGGACTTATAGATAACCGCTCGGGGATTAGAGAAGTCTCTAGCCATCGACTACATTCATCTAAGATCTTCTCGGTATCATTTACTTTGACGAATGGAAGCCAACTAGCTTCCACATATAAATGAACATATACCGAGAAAACAATTCGCGACATACGATGGTGTTCTTCCAAGAAAACAAATGGTACTCGATAAAATTGCAGGTTGCAAAAGCAGCTTCCAGCCTCCCTGACATGTCGGTGATGTTTTCTCAGTGGGCACCTATACCCACGATGCTTACCATTTGTGCATGAAACGAATACTAAGTGCCCATATCCTAGCCTGACAATTATCATGTAACATATATGAGATGCATCTGTCGATTAAATGCATGAACCTATCTTAGGAGACTATTGTAATTGTTACTAAATTACCGCCAAGATTTGCTGCTAGGATAGTTACAAGTAAAACGTAGGTTTAGGCACAGATGCTCGCCCTTTAAGGACGTTGAAAAATGTTCCACGGCGATAACATGACGAGGTGGTAGCAGATCCCGTATCGCACGCCTTTATTCTAAATCAGTATAATTAAAATAGGATGTTATTGTTTATTTCTGTTTGCTACACAGAAGAGTGAATAACGAAATTAAGTTAATTAGATACATTAGGTCATGCTTCGTTTCCAGGTATCAGCTACTGCTATAGCTGTCGCCCGTAACAGCTTAAGTAGGAATCGTAGAGACACACAGTAAATGACTGTGATACGAGTCAAGTGTGCACGTTAACAAATGCTACCTTTTCACTACGCGCATCAGAAGTTTAAATCTAGAAGTAACAACTTTAGAGAGACAACTTCATTTTAAGAGATTGTCATACGTGGGCCAAGAGTACGTATTAGGGCAAAGAAATATAAGTGCTAAGATCGATATCATTAATATCGATCGTAGCACTTAGCGTAGGCGTGATAGGGGTAGGTCGGGGTAGGCTTGATATACTGAAGAGTTTCTTTCTGGAAGGTTGCAGAACATTGAAGACTTCAACAGTTCGTGACTAAGGAAACCTTTCAACTGCTGGTAGGGTCGAAAAATCGGGAACCGATTTTTCGACCCTACCAGCAGCCGAACCCAAAAAATTGCAGCAGTGCAAATTTTAATAAATATATGTATATATTAGTGCGAAACCGTAGCAGTAACGCTGATTATTACCCCGCTTATATCGCGCGAAGCAATCATTGAATAAGTTGTAAAAAAACAATTATCTATTTTACGTATATTCGCATTTTCACGCTCCAGCGTAGACGTCACAACACGAAACAGCGACAGTAAGGGATAGACGTCTTCTATTTCGCTTTACATAATGGACATTCAGTTTAACCAATTTATTATGATCTCCTTCGTTTCTAATCTTTCTTATTTTAAGCCGATACACTCAGTTTTTCTTTTTTCTCAGAGTAATTAAAAATCCGCTCTCTGAGCTAGATACATATAAAATAATCAGCCACGATAAGTTACGTCGTTGATTTTCGCGTCGTTCTGTTCAAGAATACAATGCTTACCCAGGTACTCGTCTATGCAATGGATCATTTTCTCGTGTTGCTGCACGCTGAAATAGATAGAATCGATACCTTAAGCGACGCGACCTATATTATTAAACCAGATCGTCTCAGAACAGAAAACCAGCGTTTTTCGGTCAGCTGATAGTGGTCACTTAATTAGAAAAAATATTTGCGCACATTTCATAGCTAGATGAATCATGGCGACCTGTGTTGTGATTGGGGCTCATCTTGTTGTTGATTTAGCTTGAAGATATTTCAGAGGCTCGTGCGAGTCTCGTCCTTGTCCGATTCATGTCCGTAGCCTCGACGATTGACGGTTAGTCTCACTTATTTTTTAAGAATAAAGCTACAGAAGAACAGGTTGAAATAGGAGAAGCAATGGTAACGGCTTCGATAACAATAACAACATTAAAACAAGCTGCTTCCGCCATTGCAGTCAAGGCAGAGCAGATCAGGGCGACGCCTGTTGCTAGAGAGCATGAGGTCACGGAAACAAGACGAGAAGCTGATAACTCTCTACCGATGGCTTAGATTGAGTCTTACGCTCGATCTTCCCTACTTCTGTCTCGCTTCTTCCTTTTATCTTCTCCTCCAGGCTTCATGTTCGGTGAGTATGTGGCTGACGTGCGCACATGTACATCGGCAAATGTAGAGTGCTGTTCTCTACAACGGCGTTGGCCTGTATGAAGTCGGGTGTGCCAAGTTAATCCCGCAGGAGGTTTGGCAACTGTTTGCCTACCATCGCTGCAATGCGCCAGGTACGCTGGACTGCACAGCGTAGCATAATATTAGTATTCCTCACAGCCAACCCAGCCGCTTTGGCCTTCGCACTAGTCGGTGACTGTACTGCTACAAAACGAGTACTGTTAGGACTACTAGTGGCAACTAGCTACCTAGCAACTAAGCAGGACCAACCCGAGCCCTGCAGACATGAACGCGTACGTATTACAAAATCCTTGGGGACCTTCCTTTTCTCGCCGAAATATACAACGCTACCTATAATATACATCGGAAGCTAGCCAAATCGACCAGCTTTGCAGAATACTCAGCCTTATGCCTGAACGCTAATACCCCTGAACCAACCCTATGCTGCCCCCACACCATCGAACTACACTGAGGGCCTAATGCTCACAGCCAGCGACCAACAACTAAGGAAAAGTAATACGCACCGTAGAAGCGAAGTACATGTTCTGTCTATAATTCACCTCTCCAGAATCAGGAAAAGAGAGAAGACAGGAATTCGATCAGAAGACGAAAAGCTTTGACGAAACATATAGGGCATAAATACACACTTACGGACTCCGATACGTATCGCCGTCCTAAATTTAGTCAGCTCGCGCTATGACAGTTGAACCTTGTTCCTGTACCATTGCAAAGGCTATGCAAACACGCAATGAGCCAAGCTAACAAGCTATCCAATGATACAATTCTATGCGTAGCTGTTTCGGCAGACAAAAATATTTGGATCTGTTGAGCGAGAACAGTTCCGTCTGCAATGCTTTCCTCATCTCACGTATGGGAATGCCGACAGAAAGCGATAGTGGTCGAGGGCGGCCATTCATCTTATGTCCCATTTTCTTTCTTACAGCATATGGGCCTCCCGTCTAACAAGTGGTTACTCAATCCGCATGGCTGCTGCTCAACGATATGTGTTTCGAAAGACGGAAGTAAATTTATTTTGAAGGATGACTGTGTTGGCCTTCGTGTTAACTACAACGATCAGGGCAGTCTGGTCCTACAGGACTGATGCACTCCACCCCTATGCTCAATATTCCAGCTACAGTTCCGAAAACATGCGGGCGTTAAAAAAACGAGCGATTTACCTGATCGATAAATACTGTTTTAACTAACTAAGCAGCATGTCTTGTAAAGGCGGACGTTTTAGCTCGGTCTATATACGAGTAGGACACGTGGAAGTTGACCATGGTCACTTCTGTTCAAGTAACTATCATGTCCAACTCAGTAATTCACATTAAATGTAGGGCACAAGAGTAATTACAAGAGGCACAAGGGTAACAGTTGCAATAGAGCCAAAGCAGTGCCGGCTTTTACCCCCAATATGTAGATATTTTTCACTTAATACAATTTAGTAAGTCCTTTTTCTATAGCTTAAATCAGTCATGTAACATATGTGCTTGGCGATATCTGAATGGATTACCTGTATTTGCATTCCGTCGACAGGACGTACGTCAGTAGCCTAAAGGCTGGGAATAATAGTCTCTTACTAATAAAACGAACGTTCTAGAGCAACAAAAAATTGTAAATCAAATACGCTAAAATCTGTTTTCCATACCAGACTACCCCTGATGAGCTGTTTTCAAACACTGAAGATGGATACTTCAGTAATCTTTTTCTCATTCTAAAAGTGTCATCCCTGACGCTTATGCCTGTTCGCTACAAGCACTGCTTACCTGATTTCGGCTTCGATTCAGGACCTAAGCCACTCAGTAGTAATTTAAAAAATGCCTTTAATGCGAAAATAACTTTTAACAGTAACGTATTAGTGGTAAATTACAGCGTCGCTCAAATACGCTGCCATTGTTACAATACAAAAAAAACTAGCGAACTCAAATTGTGGGCTCCAAAAAATGCAAAAAAAGCCTAATTAAAAATGCCCGCTGTAGCAGCTTATCTCGGCAATATAACTGCTTGTCTCAACTGATACTATCATTCTCCATTCCGAAATGGCCGTTAATTTCCAAAGATGTACAAAAGGTGTATCAAAAATGTTTAGCTTTCAAATCTGAGCCCTCTTGGGAACGTTTGAATTCTTAGAAGCCGCATTGAAAATGGCAATAACGATAGTCGATTTTGGCCAAAGAAGGAAGTCTCTAACTGTGGTGTAGGGAAAAGTCATCCTTGGTACGAAAACCTTCGACGCGATAAACCTAAATTCTACGTATGCTTCTGTAACAGACGTCAGTCCTCGAGTAAAATGCTGTTTACAGGCTTAAACGTAACACCAAAAAAAAAAAAAAGAAAAAAAAAGGTAATGATAATAACAGGTAGTCACCACTGGAACAGAGGAATAGAATATGATTACTGCAACCTAAAGGTGTGTTATAAAATGCAGTAATATTCTAAGCAAAGGATAGGTTTCTAGTTGAGCTATAGTTTACGTTAAGTTTAAGGTAATGAAACTGAAGATTCGTTCATACTAAGGTAGATTGACAAACTAACTGCCAAAGAGTTATGGATTAGGTGGAACACTGCTGCTGGTGTGAACTGAAGTCTGAGTAAGGCTGGCTGTAATATCGATAAACCGAATTAGTTTAATCAATAGAAGAACAGATTAGTACATATTTATATATACACATAGGGTATCCATTTAGTGAACATATTATTGGTACTTGGCTCTATGATGGACGTTCTAATGTATTTTGTACGTACAACTATGTCCTAAAAGTAACTAATTACTGTTTTGGTCCGAAGCGGATAGCTTTGTGAGAAGTCCCAGAACGGTTCGTGAGGGTGCAGTGGCGTATTTCTGGGTTCATTTTACTTGTTATTCTATGCTTAGGGCGCACGAGCGTTGAAAGTGTCGTACGTTGTGATACGCTGATGTCAAGTTGACCAAAGGTTCTTATGTTTAGCGGCTCAAGAAAAGCCCGTGCCATAAAGATCACAGCTTATTCACTGATGTCTGTGCAGTTGTCAGTGCATTTAAAGCGTACGCAATTTGCTGAGGCAATTCATTTGACGGAACTTCAAAAGCCAGTGAAGGAGCCGACGCTTTGTGACTGATAGGTCAGACAGAATAAGCTCGGTAATCGAAGCAATATTATAAACGTACGAATTTTCGCTCTCTTCAGATATGTCCGGATACCCTGCTATGATATCGGAAAGACCCGAATGTTAAGGCCGTTGTCAAAAGTTTACACTACAACCAAGTAATGTTATAGAAAATTTATAAACACAACAGCTGTACATGGACCAAATTTCCTTCAGCTGTTACATTATTTTTTTTTAGCTATTGAGCTGGTTAAATCTTGAGAATTGTGGTGTGGACTTTAAATAGACTTAAACTAATCAACGCAAGTTTGAGGCAGTCTAATAAGAATTTTATATACTAGGGTAAATATACAAGAAAGACAGGTATTATTGTTATTTCATAGGAGCAATCGAAAGTTTCGGCGATGTACAGTATATGAAAAGAACACCTGCGTAAAGAAATGCTATCTGCAATTACAGCGTATGAGTGAGGGCACGCGTTACTGCTCTGATATTCAGAAGAGAGATGTATTGTTGGCATAGTACCACGGCGTTCGAGAGGGACGGTTCACAGTGATTGCAAACGTGACCCCGCTGATCGGTACCTATCATAAAAAGGATTCTGAGGTCTGACGGAAATTCTGAGGCTGCGAACTAACATTTTATTGAACGCAGCGGCAAAGAGCAATCTCTACGATCTAACTCCGCCTTGTTGCCCAAAACGACAAATGCCCCGTGTTAAACTCGAGACGTAATGCAATTTGTTGCAATAATTAGTACGCTAACTGCGCCGCAAGGTTTTCCCTAACGGTGGTATGCAGGTCGAGCTAGCAAAGAATCGATTAATAACGAAGATTTATTTTCTGCTATTTGATTATAGTGAAACTTTTAACTTGAATGACCGGGATTGGTTTTCGCAACATACTCCATCGAGACATGCCCTTCAAAATCTATGAGCCCCATTCTATCTCATGATTGGACCTGCAGTACAATACGAGATCCAAGAGTCGTTGCTGTATGAGTCGATTGTTTAAGAATATTAGTCTTTGAGCATCATTGGGTGCAGGGCGCACTCTACGAAAACACTTGGTGAACTCCGCGACGGGCAGCTAGCTTTCTGTCCATTTTCTCCGCAAAGGCGGCATTATAGACGTAGAAAATTTCTTGGAGATTTCCGTTCTAATTTTGTTTAGCAAATAACACTGATCTCCCCCACTCGGATTGACGAACAATTCGACGAAAGCTTTCGTAATATACGGCAATACTTTTTTTTATCACGTATCTTTGCAGACACCAGGACACCATATCGAGATGCGGAAATAATTTTCAAACACCTAACGGTAGAATCGTCGCATCCCGTTACGTCTAATAAATGTTTTGAAAGGCTTTACCTCACTTTGCATGACAAGACCTTCTCGAGGGCGCCCAGAGTGTCGCCTAAAATAGTAAAATAAGTCTAAGCGACGCTATTTTTCGGCGACTGACGTTCTGTGCAGAGAATATATTAGGTTGCTGGTGACGCCATATACGACGAAACCTGTTGCGGGAGTTTTGGGAAATGTATACACATTATTGTTGAGGAAAAATGGAAGAGATGGTCATTTGTGTAAGTTTCATTTTAGCTGACTATTTACCGACTTATATACTATAGGAACTTACCTTGAAACCCCAGAGTAAAACTCACTATGAATGTTTTGCCAGAAATTACTGTAATAACTGAAGGTACAATCATTTACAGGGTCATATTATTGAAAATGAAAAGACACGATGAGCATATCTGCAGCAGAATTTCGGTGGCGATCAACGGTTTCCATGCTACTACAGATCGTATTGTTTAACTTTCAGTTTTGAGGCCTTACAACTCGTATGAAGCTAGTCCAGGTCCTTGATTACCTTCCAACGCATCATCTTTTCCGTTTTGTACAATACGATAGACGGGGATCTTCGAATATTTAAGCTAAACAAACTTCCAAACGCAAATGTAGCCCAACACATGCGATTATAATATAACCCACAATGATGCCTAGGTTCGTCGAGTACCAAAAAGAATACATAGAAAATAATCTCGTACATTTCTACAAAAGCATGGGCAGACGGTTCGCCTATGTAAGAAAACGCTAAATTCGGAATGATTTTAAAAACATTTACATGAATGTAACTTTCATTAAAGTGAGTGAAGTGGTCCGTGATGTGTCCAAGAAATCTGCAGCCCCTCCTCTGGTATGGCCGCCATATTTCCATCATGTTATTCTAGCATCCTGTCTTTTTTTTATCCATCTGCTCGACGGACAACTGTTCAACTTGGAAGCTACTCGTCAGACGAATCTTATTTTTTTTTCAATAACTTCCAGAGGATCCTATTGGCTAATCAAAACAATACAAACGTTTTTCTAGATATATCGATATATAGTTAAATTTATTTTAGTAGCATCAGGCCGGTGAGATCGGCGCTGGTATCATTCGAAAGGCTGAGGCATAGAAACAAGAAAATACTGCTGTCTTTTGGGGGTTGAAAGAAAAAAATTACCAAAGGGCGTTCCGTGGTTTTCGTTCTGGAAAATACGCTCCTCATAATGGTCCTCCAATTAGAAAAAAAGTCGATGAAATTTTTGCGGAACTTGAGTCAGACTGACACCCGAATAGCCATGCTATTGCCGATAAACCAGGCACACACCACCAAACAGTTTTAAAGCAAAGCTCCATGTTTAAATGGCATATGAATCGACGCAGGGGACTTCAGT